GTGTCACAGGCAGAACAATGAGGCAGAACAGGTGAATGGCAACAGGAATGTGAGAGGAATTAGAAGCAGCACAGCAAGAAGTCTTAGTAGTGAGAACATGCAAAACATTAACAGAGCAAGAATGTTTTGTCTTAAGCTCTGTCTGAAAACTATAGAGGCTTTCTTGCCTCTTCATATGCTCTCTAGCTGGGGAGGACTTAGCCATTTCAATCATAAAACTCAGTCCTCCTGTGCTTGCATACTTGCTACACACTTGGCAGCTCACAACGTGTTGCCTCAGTTTCCTCTTTAGTATGACCAATATTTATGTATTTTCCAAGAGTCTTTATTGTCCTGAACTGAAGGAAACTAAACACAGACTTATTCCAGAGCCCACCCATGTCAGTGGGGAAATTTCCACCTGTTTGTGTACTTCAGATCAGACCTCCTGTCCTGTAAACATGAAACCTAACAGCAGCCAAAACAGTCTCCCATTCGTACTCTAGCAGCTACATCAGGAAGATGTCACAAGCCACTAATCCTTTATCAATTTTCTCATTCCCATTTTGACAACCTTCACATAAATTAAGGCAAATTTCAGCACTGCATCGGGATTTGTAGCCATAAAACCTCAATGTCATAAAACAGCTTTACACGAAGAAATATTTTATACGTAAACTTTGTGACAAGTTCTGACAATGCAATTTTCCAACACACAGTTGTTGGGTTTTAAGTCAAAATTTTCTCCGTTAGCTTGAATTCTGCCACGGTACTGGAATGGTAATTCTTTGCTTGGATCCACAAAGGTTAACATCCATACAGACATATTTGTTGGACCTTTGTGTTATTAGAATTAAATGTGCTGCTCATCTTACCCCCAAAATAAAAATCTAAGGCTCAAACTATTAAAGCAGATGAAAGACAAAACATAATACAAATTAAATATATTCTAAACACAGCTGGTTTAGAGACAAACCAGTGAAATATAGCTGTGTGCAGAAAGCAAAGCCTGTGGAAACTGGCACATTATGGAAAGAAAGAAATCAGTCACCCGTGCAAAATTACGCCTATGGGCCATCTGAGAACTGACAATGAAGTCAACTGTAAAGGCAGCTGAGACCAGCAAACTTCACCGAATTAGAATACTGGGGGGAGGGAGGAAAAAAAATCAATGTGTACATAAATATATACAGAGATGCATATACAGATGTTTGGCAAAAAATCACTACTACTACTCCTGTATAGACATACATCTCTCTTAGCTGTCCACCTCATTAAAGCCATGGTAAATTTATTTTCTCTGTACCTGCACATTTCTTTTAGTAAACGCAGAGAGATTAAACCAGGAAATGTATCCTTCCGAGCTGAGTATCAAGTACTTGTGTACAGAAAATGAGAAAAAGCAGATAAATTCTTGTGAATGAATGTTAGTTTATAAAGTACACCTTCAGCACCTGTAATCTCTGGAAAACAGGCATACAAGACTAATCTTCAGCAGCCAGGAAAACACACATACTTATTCCCAACCTAGAGCCATCTACCGTTCTCTTTCACTGAATGTAAGGGTTGAAGGTGAACTTGAACAACGCTGTCGTAGTATTAAATTCATGCGACGCTAAACTTTTATGGTATCAGTACTTTTCAGAGCAGTGGAACAATTTTTTATTGTTTTCTTCATATCTGTTTCATTAATGTGATAAAGAAGGCTGGGCAATGACATTCCCATGATGCTCAGAATAAAGACTCAGCCTATCTCTGCCAGAGAAGTAAAATTTAAGGGGGATCAGTTTTTTTCTTTCCCTGCCCCCTGTTCAGTACCTAGGCTTGGTTACTTGTGACTGAGCTTTGCTGCTATTCAGCCAGAAACACCACTGGGAAGTGCTGACGGAAGGCAACCGCAGTGCTCGTTAGCATATTTATAGGAGTACAAAACATCCAAGGCTCTAATTCTATTTACTTTACACGGCTATATCAGCAGTCTTGAACGTAGGAACAGGGCCATCAGTAGGTTTCCCACACTTATAGTTACTTCCTTGTTAAAACTCCAGTTTCCTGTCCTCTGGAAGGTACAGCTGGCCTTTAAGACAACAGAAATATTTTGTGTCCTCCTGGATATGAGATGTAGATTATCAGTCAGTGTTCAGACAGTTCCTTCTATTGCTTTTGAAACCTGCATTGGGAATCAAGGATTCCCACCGGATATAATATTTTGGCAGTGCTACTGGTAATATACTGAAGCCAGTGGAAGATAAGGTAACTATACCGAGGCTGTTATTTACTGATGTCATAGCACTTGCTCTAAGCACTACACCTGGAAACAAATTCAAATTCTACAAGCTTACTCGCCTACAGCAACCAGCTTTTGAAGATACTGTGTTTGCATTTCAATTTTAGAGACGGATGCAGCATTTGGGTCTCCTTGTAACGGAAAACTAGGCTGCAAGATCCCATTTAGAAAGGCATCGTACCGAGAGCGAGGCTCATAAGACTGTGGCTTTGACTGTTCTTGCAAATAAAATGGAACTTCAAAGAAAAAACTGGAGGCACTGGAGGAGATCCAAGAGTCATATGTATCTCAAGAGTATGGAATATATTAAAAAAAGCTGGATCTCTGATGGAAAAAAAATTTATCCCTCTGGGATTTTCGGGGTTGTTTTTGTTGTTGGTTTGGGGTTTTTTTAGCATGAAGATTGCTTTGCACTCATAAACCCTACCTTAACACAGCATAGAAACTTATCCCTATTTAACAGACCTTTCAGAATGCTTTCCAAATTTAGACAAGTAACTCAAAAACAATGTAAGAATTTACCCCTTAAATGTGCAGCAACACTTTTCACTTGTTTTTCCTTATGATACTGTCTAAACAGTTGGGATAAGGATGTTTCCCATCAAAATTCAACTGGTACTTTTTAGCATATTGTTTCATACATTATCATAAATCCTCTTAAAAATGAAAAATCCTTTACAAATAAAAATGGAAGTGACAAGGAAAAGTGCAGAATCAATTACATTTTAAATGTGATACCTGGAAGGATATAATAATAAACTATTTATGACATATCCACAAGGATGTAATAATAAATTCTTTCATTTTTATTCTTTCTTAAGATTGCAATCTGTCACTTTGCTCTAATAATGCTTAGTTCATAAGCAGTATTTGGTACGAAAGCTGTATTTTTAGGATAAGTTCACAAAAAAGTTGTTTTAAATAATAATTTTAAGAAATACTATTTTTAAAGGCCTACTTGTTTATAGGATTTAAGATCAAGCGTGTATCAGTTATGTAGGACTCACACTTCCATGTCCTTGTGTAGCTGTCACTACGTTATTTAGGAGCTCAAGTACCCCCAGAAGCTATGAGTCATCCAGGCTGTGATTCCACAGTGTCTCTCTCTTGTTGGCAAAGCTGACTTCAGCAGTTCCTGCCACCACCTCTACATCTTACCAGCTCATTTGTTCTCTTCACCTTGCCACGAGCCCTTCATTTTCATCCTTTGCTTGTGCCAATACAAAGGTTTGTCAGGCTCCCAGCTGAACCAGACTGGAGAAAGTATCTATATTTTAAATAGCTACAGAAAGCCTCCTCTCACATTTTGGCAGAGATTTCTACCTCACAGGAGGTCCCTGATCAGAATAACCAAGCGTCCTCCAAACAGACAGGGTGATATTAGGTTGCCTACAAGCAGGTTGGGGTGAGGAATGGGAAAGAGCAGGGAACTGTTTAGGTCAGCTTTACTTCCAAGAAAAACATGTGTAAAACTGTGATATTAGATATTTATCTTAGGTGCAAATATCCATCCTCACAATTCAGTGGTATCAAAACTGCCTGACTCACCGACGGCTCTTCAGTATGCTCAGAAATTAGTAAGAAAAGCTCACTGCAGTTCATAATCAGCTTCCAAAGCACAAAACTCACCGCCTTAAACAGGAAACTCAATGGCCAGACCTAGTGACCCACAGAACGAAACAGTTGGAAGTGTCCCACCAGTGGCAGGTCTGAACGACAGCCCCTGGGCAGTGTGATGCAGTAGCCGGTGCCTGAAGGTGTCGGGGTTGAGATGAAATGGGTCACTCCCAGAGATGTCCACCCCTTGCTGCAGAAACCTCCTACGCAACTCTGTCTTAAAGGCAGTCATGTGGTCCAAGTTAACTGTTCATGCCAGTCACCAGCTTTTCTCCAAAGACCTCTGAATGTCAAGGAGCTTTCCTCTTGTTGGATCAGTGACTCAAGGTCTTACGTTTCACATGACAAGAGCTCAAGAAAGTTCCACTTACGTAGTGCAGTGACATAAACACATCTACAAAGACACTAATCTCTAAGTTTTCACCAACCACCAACCTAGCCCCCAAGGTTTCAAACAGAAAAGTTTCTTTAAAATCTGACCTCTACAATTTTCTTATTATCTCACTGTGGACTGTTACTTTACTTTTCTTGTTTTCTCATACAACAGCTACATTGTAAAACAAACTGCAGTCTCAAGGACAGGAAAATTTCTTTCAAAACTACTGCGTAGCTTGGTTCTACTGGAATAATGAGGAATATGTGACGGAGGCTGCCAAAACAAGTGTTCATTTTTCAGATGTAAAGTCATAAACATCTGCAGAAATGCATCCTGATGCCAAGGATTATTGCAGGTATTTTAAAAAGAGCTGCTTACAGTTAGAGGAAAAATTTCTAGACAGTATATCCTCAAAGATTTCCACAGTAGGAAGACAGTATTGAAAACACTGCATCGCTCCTTAGTACAAAGATATTCACAATACTACCAAGCTATTTGAATGCCCTGCATTCTACAGTTAAAAATTTTAAGAACTCTAAACTAATTTCTCTGTCAACAATTTGGGTAACAAATACCTTGCAACTAATACACTACCAAGTTAGAAAGCATCACATAGATCTTTGTTGTATGCAGTAAAGGGCATTTAGAGAGCACAATTATAATGCATTGAAACTCTATCACTTTTTCGGAATAGCAGGGGAAAAAGAGTAAAAGGAGAAAAGGTTACTCTGAGTAACTTACTGGTCCTTTAGCCAGTCATTAACAAAAGGAATGGAAAAGAATTCTGTGAATGATTCATCTTTCCTCTTTGGGTTCTTGCTGATAACAAAAAAAAAAAAAAAAAAAAAAGAAGAAAGAAAACAACCCATTAATTTAAATTATAGCTACTCTATTTGCAAATCAATGCCTTTGAATCTTTCAGCATAATTAATAGGAAAAGCCACGATTTACTTACTTGTATAACCACTCAGTTAGGAAATCACAGGCAATAAATTCGGTCCTTTTCCTCTAAAGATAGAAGATAATTTCAAATTATTTATTGTCTTTGGATTGGTCACATGTTTTTACTACTGGTGAGGAACAGAAGTTAAATTGACTGCTTTTATTAAATAAAATATACAGTGCATTACTTTGTCTACTTTAATATTCCTACTGCTAACCGCCAGTGGCTCAGCCAAAATTTTAGAAATTTTTTGGAATGCTTTCAAGTCAAAAATGGGTGAAAAAATTCCACATACACTATCTAGATATTTGCTGCAGTATAGCTATAACAGGGATCTCTGCCACTTAGGAAGAACACCAGCCTAACTCATTGCAAAGAAATTAAGATAACTTAAATATGAGACTATGTTGTAAATTACTTGCCATTTTGTTCAAAGCTCTTTATCACACTTAAAATACTTCATTGCTTCCAAGGCACAGAAGGAACATTGATGAATATTGTTTCCTCCTGCTTGAAGGTGTTGTGAACACGTTGACACACATGCACAGAGCACGGTATTGCATGGCTGTTCAGACAAAGTCATCTGTTGGGTGGTCCAGAAAGGAAGGTAGAAACAAGGCATAGCATAGAATTTATCACAGAATCACAGAATGATT